TAACCTCGCGGGAATTATAATCGCCGGCGAATATGAAGGCGGCGCTATCCTTACATGGGAGATTCCCCCGGGGACGACAGACCCAGCCAAGCGAGTACCGTACTTGGACAAATTCGCTGTCCTCCGTAAAAGCCAGGGCGCTGGAGGTGTGGCGGACATTGTATTCAACGCCATGGTCCGGGACTGCTTCCCCGACGGCGTGTGCTGGAGGAGTCGGAAGGATAACCCCGTAAACAAGTGGTATTTTGAGCGGTCGAGGGGCACGTTGAAACTCAAGGGCATGAACTGGACTATGTTCTGGACGACTCCGAAGTTGACGTTGGATGACCATAAATTCCACGACTACGAGGCTGTATGCCGCAGTATCGAACCGTCGTGGGCAGATAAGAAGCACATAGTCGACTAACACAGAAATGAAATGAAGTAAAATCAGTAAACCATGTGAAATACAATCCGTGCATAAGATAGTGATATACTATAATTTGTTTCTCGGGCTCCAGGCAAATAAGTTTTTGTGGTCGCTCCATCTTTATTCACTCGATACTATAAGTTCCTCTATGGGTTTTCCATCGGTGCTACTAATTTATGACGATTATATATATAAGACCATTGATGAATTTTGTTCCTGGTATACGTATACGAAATATGGCGTCATACGCCTATGTATTTACTTGGTCTCGTGTCAACTAACTCTTAAAGTTACATGTGTGACAATCTTTAGGCAAGAAGCCAATAACACGTGCTGGTTCTAATACCTTCTTCGATATCGATATATATACTAACACAAACAGGAAACTCAAACTTAGTAGGTAGGTATCAAGTTTAAGCGTGCAGCGACCTAGTTTTCTTGATGGCGGGGCGGTCAGAAGGGAAAAAATATGGTACAGATGACCCCACCATGAGTCCAGAAGCGATACTGACTGATGGGCAGCGATAACAACGGGAGGCGGGGTGATAAGGCGACAGGTAGGGGGTGCTTGTAGTCGCCATTGCCCGCCGGTTTGTCATAGGTGGGGTCAGAGCAGGAAAAATGAAACGGTACCTCAAAATGCCAAGTGTGATAAAAAAATGGTTGCCTCTCAATAAAAGTTAAAATTTGTGGCAATGCATGTACAAGGGAGAGAGTCAGATATAGTTTACTATTCTATGGGCTCATATATGGGTTTATTAGATGAACGAGGCTATCGCTCTTTCCTACTGGCTACCTAGTAGAGAGACTAGCCTGAAGTGTTGAAGAGGGATCGGTCCGCATGCGTTGAGAATGTTTTGAATTTTTGGATTTGTTTTTCTTATTCGTCCTGGGCGGGCGCGCGCGTCGTTGTTGCTTGAAGCCTCTAGAAGTTTCGTAGATACCTATTATAGCACGCCCCGCCATGGGGGTGCGCCTAAGGAGGGGTAGCCCGGGTGAGGCTAGCCTACGCCAAAATTCGACCACAGGCCGTCCCTCCCTCCTCCCACCTTTTATTAGGTAGGCCAGTCTATAGTCAAACCTGCGGTGCGCATTTGGGCAGCTTTTTTCCCTTTCCTTATTTAAAGAATCCCTTTTCTATCGACTATCTGAATAGATCATCTAAAGTCCTGCAGACGACTGGTTTCACACTCTCCCCGAACCCACCGACTTGCCGATTTATACCCTCACCGCCCGAGTCTTGTCCCTTCCGACGTGCTCTGTTTGTTGATAACATCGTCTTCTCGTGTCCAAGACCCGTCCACCCCAATTCTCAACCGACTTTTATTCAACCAAACCACCCCAATTTGTTGAAGTTTCCTTAGACAACATGAGTGTCGTTGGTATGTTGCCCTGCTCAGCGACTCTTGCCCACAGTTTACCTGTCTTCTGCCTACTAATGCCAGCGTTTAGGTGTTGATTTCGGAACGCTCAACACAGTTATTGCTGTCGCGAGGAATCGAGGTGTCGATGTTGTGCGTATTGCCTCCCTCTCTCTTGTCTAGTCTACTGTTATTGCCCCGTTTGTAAGGCTGACATATTATTTGTTTGGTTAGATTACCAATGAAGTTTCCAACCGCGCGACACCGTAAGTACCGCCCTATCTAGTAGCTGATAGCAGCTATTTCTAACTAACAACGCCTTCTAGTTCCCTCGTAGGATTTGGCCCCAAGTCCCGCTACCTTGGCGAGCCGGCGAAGACACAAGAAATCTCCAACCTCAAGAACACCGTCTCCTCACTAAAGCGCCTTGCTGGACGCGCCCTCAAAGATCCCGATGTCCAGATCGAGCAGCAGTATGTCTCGGCGGCTCTCGTAGACTGCAATGGCCAAGTTGGCGCCGAGATCTCATACCAGGGCAAGAAGGAGAAATTCACGGCCACACAGCTTGTTGCCATGTTCCTAAGCAAGATCAAGCAGACTGCTGCCACTGAGCTCAAGCTCCCAGTAGCTGATGTCGTTATGAGTGTACCGCCGTGGTTCACTGACATCCAGCGACGAAGCATCCTCGACGCTGCCGAAATCGCTGGCCTGAAGCCACTTCGGATTATGAATGACACCACCGCTGCCGCTTTAGGCTACGGTATCACCAAGCTTGATTTGCCTGCCGAAGACCAGAAGCCGCGGCGTGTTGTCTTCATTGACATCGGCCACAGCAACTACTCCGCTTCCGTCGTCGAGTTCAAGAAGGGTGAGCTGACAGTCAAGTCTACCGCCTTCGACCGCCACTTCGGTGGTCGCGATTTCAACTTGGCCTTGCTCAACCACTTCCAGAAGGAGTTCAAGGGCAAGTATCGTATCGATATTGCAAGCAACCCTAAGGCCATGGCCCGTGTCGAGGCCGCCGCTGAGAAGATGAAGAAGATTCTGTCCGCTAACCAGCAGGCTCCCCTAAATATTGAATCTCTCATGAACGATATCGACGTGAACGCCATGGTCACGCGACAAGAATTCGAGGCCCTTGTTGAGCCCCTTCTAAACAAGGTCGTGGCACCGTTAGAGCAGGCACTAGCCGACGCTAAGCTAACCAAGGATGACATCGACTTCATTGAGCTAGTAGGCGGTAGCACTCGTATGCCAGCTATTAAGGAGAGAATCCAGGCCTTTTTTGGCAAAGGCCTGTCTTTCACTCTCAACCAAGATGAGGCTATCGCTCGAGGCTGCGCCTTCGCCTGTGCTATTCTGTCGCCCGTCTTTAAGGTCCGCGATTTCTCCGTTTCGGATATTGTGCACTACCCGATCGAATTTTCGTGGGAAAAGGATGTGGATATCCCCGATGAGGATACGAGCTTGACCGTCTTCAACAGAGGCAATGTCTTGCCTTCTACGAAGATTCTAACCTTCTACCGGAAACAGCCTTTTGATTTAGAGGCACGCTACTCTAAGCCAGAGGACCTACCCGGCAAGGTGTCCCCATTCATCGGCCGATTCTCAGTTAAGGGAGTCAAGGCTGACCCTAAGACTGAATTCATGATTTGCAAACTTAAGGCGAGAGTGAACATCCATGGCATCTTGAATGTCGAAAGCGGCTATTACGTTGAAGACCAAGAAGTCGAGGAGGAGATTAAGGACGATGGCGAAAAGAAAGACGGTGATGTGAGTTCCGCCTCCTGATCAGCCACTTTGGGCGCTGCTATATGGTTTTACTGACCTACTTACCCCTTAGGCTATGGACACTGATGATAAAAAGGACGATGGTAAGGTCAAGACGCGAAAGGTGAAGAAACAAGTTCGCAAGGGTGATCTACCTATCGTCGCTGGAACTACTTCCCTCGACCCCAGTATCAAGAATAGCCTGCTGGAGAAGGAGGCGGCTATGATTATGGAGGATAAGCTAGTAGCCGACACGGAAGAGAAAAAGAATGAGCTTGAGACGTATATCTATGACATGCGGAACAAGCTAGACGACCAGTACGCCGACTTCGCTAGCGATGACGAGAAGGATCAGTTGAGGTCTAAGCTTACCGAGAGCGAGGTATGTTTCTCCCGTATTCCCCACGTTGCGAACACACTGGGACTCACGCTTTATAGGATTGGTTATACGAGGAGGGCGAGGATACTACCAAGGCTGTCTACATTGCCAAGATAGATGAAATCCGTGCCATGGCTGGTCCCATCAGCCAGAGATACTTTGATAAGGTAGAGGCAGACCGCCAAGCGTTGCAAGCTAGACTTGATGCCGAAGCGGCAGCAAGGAAGGCGGCCGAGGAGGAAAGCCGTAAACCCGCTGAGCCTGAGAAGACTGAGGGCAAGGACGAGGAGATGACAGACGCAGAGGCTGTTAAGCCGGAGGTAGAAGAGAATGAGTCTTAGGTGGACACGCCCCGAAAACGGGCCCATACAATGATGAGTATAAATGAGCGACATGGGAATATGTCGCCGCAGAGGGGAACCAAAAAGTAATGACTGCAAGGGAACTAGCTTGCTGGGACTGGATGGTTCAATAACGGGCTGAGGGGATTTCTCCGATCCTGACCGGATATTGCAGTGTTAGAGATAGACTACGCCTGCTCAATCAGTACACGTGGCCGGCTGTAGACTTGAGATAGAGCTTATCCGGAAATGGATATGTTTATGACTATAATGTTCTCTCTCACGGCTCTTTGGTGTGTGGTAAACCTGGGTATTAAGCGACGGTGTTCTTGTTTCGCGTATTTGCACTTGAACTTTTACTTGTACTGTGGCCATATATAAACTAACGAGGTACTTATTTACATACCTAAGTACCTTGTCTTCAAGCTTATGATTAAAAAAAGTGCGAGCTATAAAACTAGGTAGTTGTTACATGTATTTGATTTACTATTAAGCCGTGCCGCGTATTAAAACTTTTAGGGTTTATTTTTTTCCCTCCCTATTTATACGTAGATAAATTATTAGCGACTTAAGAGAAAAAAAACTAGCTAATTGTAGGAAATAATTAATGAGAAAAAAAACCATAAGTACCTGGGTCTATCTAAAGGTTAAACAAACCATGACTGAATACCATAACCCCTCCCCCTCTCTATTCATGGGTCCTTGGAAGAACCCCGGTCTCTAACAAATCATCATGCGATGGCCTCGTGGCCTAATGGCTAGGGCGCTAGATTTCGGCGACACAGTAACATGTGCGATTCTGATTCTCTAGAGATTGTCGGTTCGAGTCCGGCCGAGGTCGTTGATGTTCCACCGAATTGGTGTAGTGGCTAACATTTGACGCTCTCATTTGCTCTTCCAATGTTCTTGGATTGGTTCTAGAAGTGCCGTCAAGCCCGGGGTTCGATTCCCCGATTCGGAGTCATTTACTTTTGCTCTACTTTAATTTTTAACCTTCTCTTTATGTAAGCAGTGAAGAAGTGTTGAAGGGAGATATAGAACACAGAGTATTGGATCTTCTTGCCACTGGGTGCACCTCTATGACTACCTGTTAACTCTTGGAGTTAAGGTTTTCACGAGCGGCAAGCTTTGCACTGGCCTTAAAGTTAAGGTCCTAGCCACGTAGACTTCATGGAGTTTTTATTTTCGCCATTATAAAACGCCATGTAATTATTTATGCCAGCAGGCCTACCACTCTTACACCTTTTTCACTCTCAATACCACCTTTTCCGACACCAGACCGCCTCATAGATTGTGATCTCTACTCCTTATCTATCCTGCTATATCCTCTCAGTATCTTTTTCTCTCTTAGAAAACATCAGTAAGTAATACTTATCAAGCTTATTAATTACTTGTTCAATAACCATTGTTTAGACATGGCTTCTACCGCCGCTGATGAGCTGGAAATAAAGTGGTCTTTGTGGAGTGGCCAAGTAGTCAACAACCAGCTAAACCCTATCCATCTCGCCCTCGGAATCCGTGGCTACCAGATCCAGTCAGAAGTTTTACATATTCCTACGCGATGGGGCATTTTCTCGCCCGGTCCGCCTCGCCTCCAGGTCTACGAAAGTCACGCTTTCGCCAGTACCTGCCTCATCGTAGCTCTTATAGCTACCTGGACTATATTGAACGATGTTATTATTTATATATATGGCAGGTTGGACGTTGAAACTGTTGTGTTTTGTTTGTGTGGGGTTATTGTAATAGCAGCTCTGTGTTTTCTAGCGCTGTGTTTTTTCCCTCCTCAACACAGACAAGGATACGTGTGGGATGACTGGGAAATGTCAGAAGCAGTGGATACGTGCACAAGTGAGAAGAATGAGTGGTAGTATTAAGGATGATTAAAGAAGAGATTACTTAAGGACCAAGGGTCCGGAGGAAATCGAGGAATTTCGTAATACATATAATCGATCACATGGGATGTATTTTTCTTTATCGATAATGGATAAGAAGATGGCAGGCAGTACTCTATATAACTCTCGCTTAAGTTCTTATCAACCCCAAACATCTCGGAGTTTTGGTGTTGTTTCCGAGCAAACAATGTGTCCTAGTGCCGTACAGGCGCTACCAGGTTTGTACCTACCTACTTAATAAGTGGCCATGCTTGCTCAACACCCGAAGGTAGGAGCAAGTTTACATATTGTTACTTGTTACCCACTGAAACTGTGCAACTCCCCATAGGGTACCTAATCGTCATAACCTGACCCACTCCTTGGCCCTCTTACTTGACCCTCTCCCATCCCACATTCCCACATCCACCGACTCCACTACCACATAATATCCCCTACGCAATAACCCTCTCAACATCCAGTGAGAAGGAAAGCTAGAGACATCTTTTTTTCCTCTGCTACCTATCTGCAATCTCTTTTGCCTTCGGAGATAAGCTGGAGCGAGTGGGCAATGGTCTTGGGACTTTTCCGGGACATGACTCTATCTAGACTGTATCCTTTTTCCCACCCTTAATCCGCCGCCTATCCCGTCTCGGTCGTCGTCTAACCATCGCATCCTTCACCCCACCTCGCCTCTTCTTCTGCCAGGCAACTTGTACTCGCCTCGCAGTCCCCTCAACCACAACCCGACCGAAGACCCTTTCTTCTCGCCTTCATTCAATTACTTGTACTTTGCCGTGCGACAGCGCTCCGCAGTACCTGCGACAGAATCTACCCACTCCCTCCCACCCATCAAAGACCAACATGGCACCCAAAAAGAAGGGAGGAAAAAAGGCGGCCGACGACTGGGAAGCCGACCTTGGTGAATCCATTGCGCCGACAAATGCTAGCGATGCCCCCGCTGCCGAAGCTCCGGAAGAGCAAGCAGAGGAAGGCGATGGTCCCGTCGGTGGTCTCATGGCCCTGAGGATGAAGAATCGAGAGAAGCGAAAGAAGAAGGGCCTGTCCGAGAACTTCGTTGATGGTGACTCGGCGCAGCCCGCTACCCCCGAGCCCACCGATATAAGCGCCTTCAAACCGCCCCAAGAGGCCTCTGCAGAGGACGAGTTTGCTCTGCCAGAGAAGAAGGGGAAAGGAGGGAAGCAGAACAAGAACCAGCCTGCTGCCAAAGCGCCTGCCGCCGGCGCTGATGGAGATGATGTTGGCGAGTCGGGTAAAATGCTCACCAAGGCCGAAAAGGAGAAGCTGAAGAAGGAGAGAGAAAAGCAGAGGAAGAAGGAACAGGTCGGTCCCATCACGCATCTTCATTAACTCCAAGACCTAACACTTGTCATTACATCTAGGCTGCCAAGAAGAAGACGCCCGCACCCGCGCCGGCCGCAAAAGCCGCAGAACCTGCTGCGCCCGCCGTCGAAGAGAAGAAGGAGGCTGCAGCCCCGCCAGCCGCAACAGAAGCGTCGGCAAAGAAAGGCAAGAAGCTGCCGCCACACCTCGCCGCTCTTCAAAAACAGCAAGAGGAACTACGGCGGCAACGTGAACAAGCTGAACAAGCTGCCGAATTCGAAAAGGCTCGCATCGAGGAACTCGAGAAACAGGAGGCCGAGGAATTAAAACGAAAGGAGGAAGAAAAAGCCCGTAAAAAGCAGAAGGAAAGAGAGAGGATTGAGCAGCTCAAAAAGGATGGAAAATATCTTACCAAGGCTCAAAAAGAAGAGAAGGCTCGCAATGAGCGGAAGCTACAGCAGATGATTGCTGCTGGCCTCCAGGTCGGACCCTCAGAAGACGGCGAGGATAAAAAGAAAAAGGTCACCTACGACAACAGAAAGCGGGGCAAGAAGAATGACCAAAAGGTTGTCTCCATTTTTTACGTTTATTGATTTTTACTAACTCAACTCTACGTAGGTGGATGAAGAGAAAGTTCTAGCCGAAGCGGCCGAGCGAGCGAGGATACAAGCCGAGGCTGCAGCGAAGGAGGCTGAAGCAAAGGCTGCCAAAGAAGCCGCCGAGCGGGCGGCTGCTGAAGAAGCGGCCAAGAAGGCCCAGGCAGCTGAGGAGATAGACGAAGATTGGGAGGCGGCTGCTGCTTCAGAAGAGGATGTGAAAGATAGCTGGGACGCCGAATCAGAAGATGAGGCTGAAAAGAAACCTACTTCAAAAGCACCTGCTAAGGCTGAGGAATCTGAGTCCGAGTCCGAGACTGAGTCTTCTGAGGACGAGGAGCAAACAGCCGCTCGAGCTGCTATAGCCCAGCGGAAGAAGGAGGCGGCCGAGCGGAGAGAAAAAGCCCACCAAGCTGCCCTAGCCGCGAGGTCCAAGGAAAACCTTCGCAGCCCTATTTGCTGTATCTTGGGCCACGTCGATACCGGAAAAACAAAATTGCTAGATAAAATCCGCCAAACAAACGTCCAAGAAGGAGAAGCGGGTGGTATCACACAGCAGATTGGTGCCACATACTTCCCAGGTTCGTTATAATACCTCTTTGACCGTCAGGCTCATATGCTAACCAACTCCCACTAGGCGAGGCCATCAAGCAGAAGACTGCTGTTGTGAATCAGGATGGGAAGTTCGAATTAAAAGTCCCGGGTCTTTTGATTATCGACACACCTGGTCACGAGTCTTTCTCGAATTTGCGTTCCAGAGGTTCCTCCCTTTGCAATATTGCTATCCTCGTTGTCGATATCATGCACGGTCTCGAGCCTCAGACTCTTGAATCGATGAAGCTGCTTCGTGATCGAAAGACGCCCTTCATCGTGGCATTGAACAAGATTGATCGTTTGTATGGTTGGAAGAAGGTAGACAACAATGGGTTCCAGGAGAGTTTGGCTCTGCAGAACCGAGGTGTCCAGAACGAATTCAAGAACCGCTTGGAACAGACGAAACTCGCCTTCTCTGAACAAGGATTCAACGCTGAGCTGTTCTATGAAAATAAGTCGATGGCCCGAAACGTCTCATTGGTTCCCACTTCGGCCCATACCGGAGAGGGTATTCCAGACATGTTAAAGCTTATTTTGCAGTTGACACAGGAACGAATGGTCGGTTCACTCATGTATCTCTCAGAGGTGCAGGCTACCGTTCTCGAAGTCAAGGCAATCGAAGGTTTCGGCATGACTATCGATGTCATTCTGTCTAACGGTATTCTTCGAGAAGGCGATCGGATAGTAGTGTGTGGTGTCGAAGGAGCCATCACGACGAATATTCGAGCACTTCTGACTCCAGCGGTTATGAAAGAATTGCGTGTCAAATCTCAATATGTACACAATAAGGAGGTGAAGGCAGCCATGGGTGTCAAGATCAGTGCACCTGGTCTCGAAGGCGCCATTGCTGGCTCTCGATTGCTCGTGGTTGGTCCTGATGACGATGAAGAAGATCTCGAAGAGGAAGTTGAGGCGGATTTGAACAAACTGTTCAGTCGTGTGTCTACGTCGGGACGAGGTGTTAGTGTGCAGGCGTCGACACTGGGTTCTCTAGAAGCCCTTCTCGATTTCTTAAAGGATTGCAAGATTCCTGTGGCCAATGTTGGCATTGGCCCTGTATTCAAGCGTGATGTGATGCAGTGTGGTACGATGCTGGAGAAGAGCCCCGACTACGCTGTTATGCTCTGTTTCGACGTCAAGGTAGACAAAGAAGCCCTGGCCTACGCTGAAGAGAACGGCATCAAGATTTTCACAGCCGATATTATCTACCACTTGTTTGACGCCTTCACGAAGCACATGGAGGAACAACTGGAGAAGAAGAAGGAGGAGTCGAAGCTGCTCGCCGTCTTCCCCTGTGTCCTCAACACGGTAGCGGTTTTCAACAAGACCAACCCCATTGTCGTGGGTGTTGATGTAGTAGATGGCAACCTCAGAGTCGGCACACCGATTGCAGTGGTGAAGCAGAATCCCGCCACAGGCGTCAAGGAGGTCATCAACTTAGGCCGAGTGTAAGTCCATGATGCTAGCTACACCGATATTTTTTCTCCGTTGCTGACAAGTTACACAGATCATCGATCGAAAGAGACCACAAACAGATACCGATCTGCAAGAAGGGACAG